TCACTCTCCAGGCGGTGGACCTGGTAGCGAGCCGCCCTCAACTCGGTATGGGCTGCACGAGATGACTTCTCAGCCTCCAGAGCCCGCCTCAGGTGCCGATCTGATTGAAGAGTCAAGGTGCGAATGGCGGTGTTTACCTGCAAAAGGGAAACCAGTCAAAAGGGAAACAAAAAAAAAAAGAAAAAAAATGAAGAAAGAAGAAAGAGAAAAAGAAAAGAAAAGAGAGACTCACCACCATAGTATGAGTGGCAGCTCGGGCGCCGAGCTGACCAGGAGTGAGTTTGGCCACTCGTTGACCTCCCCCAGGTATGCAGCTAGCTTGCTCTTGCCCAGGCTGCACTGGGGGTTCAGAACAGTTTGACTCCCCTGGCCCTCCGAGCTGGATGCCGTCATCTCCACGTCGTGAGTGGAACTCTCAGAGGCCTCGGCGGCCACCTCGGCAGGACGAGCCCCGGCAGCATCCTCTGCAGTACGAGCCTCGACAGCGCTCTCAGCAGCCGACTCAGTAAGCTTGGCATCAGGTTCGGTGGGCCTAACAGTAGGCTCCGCTACCGCCTCGGGCCCCTGAGGCACCGCCTCTCCTTCCAAATCGATGACAGGCTTTGCTGCCACCTCGGGCCTTGGAGTTGAAGTCTATGGAGGTTGGGCCTCGGCTGAAGCTCGCGGGGACTCAACGCGCGCCTTCTTGGCTACGCGTTTCTTTCTCTTCATCTGGCGGAAGAGCTTCTAGTTGTTTATCCTCTCTGCCTCCATGGGACCTGCAGCAAAACATGACATCAGTAACCTGAAGTAAACATACGAACAAAAAGCCGAAGTGAAGGAAAACCTACCCGGGCTCAAGCTCACCTGAACGAGCTTCTCCTCAGAAGTGAAGTGTTTATAATCCAACCTGAGCTGAGCCAGTGACTGGAGCACCTTCTTGGTCTTCCCGTCCAGGATGACACCAGGGTCTTGAACGGCTATCCTCCAATCGGTGGGGAAGGGCCACCCCGTACTGCTCCGGACTACGAAGTAGTCTCGCTTCCAAGCTGGGACTTTGCTCGGGAGCTTGTGCATGAGTTTAAAACCCGGGCGGGGGGATAGGTAGTAGAATCGCCTATGCCCGAGGAGAGCACCCGAAGCGCTCTTCTTTATGGCCAAGATGGTGCTGAGAATATCTAAATCTAGGGAAAGGGAACGGTCAAAGCAAAGAGAGATGGACCCCACCACATTCCGTATGGAGTTTGGGTGGAGTTGGTCCAGAGTAATGTTGAAGTGTACCAACACCTCAACGATCAAAGGGTGAAGAGGAAGTCGGAGCCCGTCTATCAGTTGCTCCCTGAAGATCACGATCTCGTTAGGACCGTGCTCCCATGGGAAGTTGCCGGTGGAAAGGCTATACGAGTATTCCTTAGGGAGGCGGAACCTCTGTATGAGGTCCTGAAGCCTCTCCGAGGTCATTATGGAAGGGCCGAACTGATCTGGCTCCCGACCTTGGTGAGAGGCGGACGCCAGTTGACCCGAAGCCACCGTACTTCGGATGGCTGAGCAGCAGAGGAGCCACCTCGAGTCGAGGTACCCACCTCGGGCTCGTCGATAAGACTGCCTACACTAGACGACATAGTGAACTGAAGGGAAGAAACAAATTGAAAAGAGAAAAGAAGCTCGGGGGGACTCACCAAGGAAACGCAACCGGACTGGGAGAACGGGACGTATTGGAAGACCCGAACTATGAGACCTCTGACGCGAGCTCAAACGCTAATGACAAGAGCTTTGTGGCGAAGGAAATGACCATGGGTCCCTCTATTTATAGCCGCAACTGCGGGTTCCTCGAGGCAAAAACGGTTTAGCGCGTTTTTGACATCCGCAAAGTCCAAATCGCGTGAGATCCGCGCGTAATCCAAACGTGACTCGGGTCTTCTTTTGATCAAACCGGGCGCTAAACCGGTCCAGTTGGATGGAGTGCACGACAAAGCGGCATGAATACCAACGCCAAATCCACCCGGCGTGTCATGACCTCCTTGCGCTGGGTCATTGACGCCAGCGCAGGGAGTGGGGGGCAATTGATGGAGGGTGATTTGGCCCGACCTCGCAGCACGAGTACACGTGGGCGTGACCTTGCTCAAACAGTGACTCGGCATGATAGCGCAACGAGCGTGAACACAATTCGTAGGGAAAGCCCCGCCGAGTACTAGCTCGACAACTCGGCGGGTAGACTATTCGCCGGGAGCCGCCTTACCCGCACCTCCTCCCCGGGGTTAAGGCACTTCGGGACGTCCCGAGTTCGAGACGTCCTGACCTCTCTTAAGGCCCGAGCTCCCCCCAATGGACCTCAGGCCACTCCCAGGCAAGAACGCACCGATCCATCTCTAGACACCCCGAGGCATGGACACCTCGGGTCAGCCAGTTCGGCATAACCTGCTATAGGCAGCTCGTCACTCAAGAAACAGCCCAACTCAAGGTGATTCGTGGAAGGGCGGTTCGGTATACCACAAGAAAGATTCCTGCTCGACCGCCGTACCCGACAAATCTGTGGATAGCAGACATGTCCCTCGTCAGATAACGCCGCGCCTGTCACCCTTAGAAAGGTGTCTCACGCCTGACAGACACGTACCCTGCAACGACGGCCCCACGCGTGCCACCTCTGCCTTGCCTGTAACGGCTGTGGCATGCTGACAGTGGCAGTTATACCTGCCCTGTCAGAAGTCAGAGGGCATGAAGCAATGGAATTCGATTATAAGGGGATCATTCTCAAGGAACAAGGTATCTTCGAATCACCTGCGCAATCTTCACTCTTAGCCTTCGTTTTCCCTTTGATTCTTGCACAAAATACTGACTTAATCATCGGAGTGTTCCTGTCGGGCAAAACCCCGGGAGTTCTTCTTCTTCCTCTTCCTTTCAGGTACCTCTCAGGAGCCACGTGAGTGCCAGCTAGGAGTGACCGGATCGCGCTACATCACTAAGGTTGTTCTCTGGGGTGACTTATCCGCTCGGGGGCTGGAGCGAGCTGGTTTCCCCAGCACACGAGCTGAAGCAGTCTTGAAGTATCCCCTTCTGGGTAGCTCGGGGGACCCATGGCTCGTGTTGTAGCGAACTTCTCCTACAGCGAACTATGATATAGCGAGCTGCTTTATGGGCTCGTTACTTAGCCGTGATTAGGCTATAATACTGGGCTGTTGCCCGTGCTGAGTCAGGTTCACGTGTCATCATTTCATAGGTCGGGTCAAATCATCCTCCATTAATATGTATGGACGTCTAATATATATATAACTATATATGTGTGTATTATAAACCTATATTTTAGCAATAAATAATGTATAATTATATATGTTTAATTTTAAATTTTTATTTGTAAAAAATGCTAAAAATTGCAAATTGAAAACTAAATAAAGAGGTTTTGGCAAAAATAGTAGGATTGGTACGTTGGGACATAGATATAAAAAAATTACTCAAAAAACAAAAAAAGAAAAAAGAAAAACAGCCTAATCAAACATCCAAGAAAAAAGTTATAGCCTCTCGATATTTGCATGCACATTTTATGTACAATTCATGACTTGGTCATTTAGTTGAATGGATCACTGGTCCAATCATCAGGATAAGAGGAGTTTTAGCCAAAATCTGGGTTTTAGGAGATCTGGAATTAAAATCATGACCAAATAACGGTTGGAACAATTCGATAGGCTAAGTCAACAATGGGTTGAAAGTGCCACCATTAGATTGCTCACCATGTTCCCTGTTCCCAATATTTGGCTAAATGACTGTTGGGACGTTGTTGGGAGTAAATTTGAATTCAGGAAAATATCCGCTAGACTATTAAGTTGCTCACGAGTTCAAATCACTTACCAACAAAAGACCTTCGCAACACCCTCCCAACATGATTTGACACTGTATATCTCAAACATAATGTGGTCCACTGGTGAGGTGTGTGGTCTAAGACATTGTTGGAAGAGTATTGGAATGTCTTTCTGTTGCTAGGCGACTCTAACTCGTTGCTCACGCAAATGAATTTGATGGACTGCTCAGAGAGCGCATCTTATACACATTTATCGATGCATTTGAAGTCGGATCACATCGGCGCCCCACAACGCCTCACAGTACATCCAAAGGTGTATTGAAAGAGATCACATCTGCGGATATGAAGTTTATTAGTGGAAAATATTCTTAATATACGGTTAGGACATGCTGTGAAGCGTTTACAGGGCACCCTCAGTATGGCGCAGATATAAATTCGTACTGAAAATATTTTCAAATGCACGTGAGGCGCTAATGTGATCTCATTATGTTCTGAATGGTGAGGAAATATGCTCTTTACAAATGAGCGCCTCACATGTACATCCACCGTACATCGAGAATATCTCACGTGAATAATAATTAATAAATATGGGAAACGGAGCAGATCCGGTCTCCTTCCGAATGAAGGGGGAATGACAATATACGTGTGGGGCGCACTCTGGAAAACCCATCAGAATCCAAGACTGGTATGTGCAGGAAATCCGAACTTAATAATAGATGCCGACGCTTGCTTCATGTTGACCCACCACTGCCTGAAAAGAAAAATTCAAAATTAATTATTTGTTTATTAATTTTCTCTCTCCGCCTCTCCTAGTCCTCGTCTGTGGCCTGTGTTTTATTGATATTAGAACTGTCTGACAGGCAGGTAAAAGCTCTTCACTTTCACACGTAAGAGGATTTCAGTGATGTGTTTCGGCGCGGCGCCTCCCGATTTTGACTGCCCAACCAACAAATAGAACTCAACGGCCAGTGTTTCTGGTCGGGTCTTCGTCCATTCTCCATCAGTGGCCCGATCCATTACCAATAGGCGGGTTGTGTTGTGTGTCGTCATGACTCATAACTTGCCAGCTGTATACATCAACAGAGGATAGGGCAATCAGCAAAGGTGCCATCCATGACAGGTGGCAAGTTGTGGGACCTACACACAGTGTTGACCATGATTTCCGCTTCCTTGCTTGAGCTCTATCTATCTCAATATTAAAAACTCTTGCAGTTCCATACTTTTCCTTTCTGTGTCGTTCGTCAACAAAGAAGATGAAACTTATCAATTCTGTACAATAATCATCCAACCATGTGAACAAGCTTTTGACCCTCCACAGTCAACGCCAACCCATCCTCTCTGTTCCCCCATTACTCTCCACTAACTCCTTCCTTTCTGACTTTCATTTTTTTGAATTTCTCCGTCCATACCTCTCTCTTCTCTTCTCTTCTGCTTTGTATACAGCCTCAGAGAAAGAAGCAAAAAAATCGAAACAGAGAAGGCTACAAAGTGAAAACAAGAGCAAATGGTAAACTAAAGACGCCAGACATGTGGCAGACTCAAAGGCCTCATCTTTTCCTTGCTCTGCTTCTTCTGTTTCTCCTCTCCCTCCCATTGAAGCTCTCTACATCAACAACAACCGAAGCCCAAGCTCTGGCCAAGTGGAAGAACAGTTTAGCTTCCTCGGATTCTCTCCGTTCTTGGTCCCTCACCAATATCAGAAGCTTCTGCAATTGGGCAGGCATCGTCTGCAACAAAGCCGGAAGCGTCACCGAGATAAACCTCCCCAGCTCCAGTCTCAACGGGACACTCGACCAACTCAGTTTCGCATCGTTATCCAATCTCACTCGCTTTGATCTCAACGGCAACTCTATTGATGGAACAATTCCCTCGGGCATTGCCAACCTCTCTAAGCTTACGTACTTGGACCTGGGCACCAATTACTTCATTGGTTCCATCCCTCCAGAGATCGGAAGATTGTCGGAGATGCGGTATCTCACCCTATCTGTAAACAACCTCGAGGGTCCAATCCCATATCAGATCAGCAATCTCCAAAAGGTATGGTACCTAGACCTCGGAGCTAACTACTTAGAATCCCCCGATTCATCCAAGTTCTCTGCCATGCCCAATCTCATATATCTAAATCTTTATCTCAACTCACTGAGCTTGGACTTTCCGCCTTTCATACTGAACTGCCGGAACCTGACGTTGCTCGACTTGTCGGTCAACAACCTTTCGGGTCCGATACCAGAACTGTTGGTCACTAATCTGCAGAAGATTGAATACCTCAATTTTACGAGTAATTCCTTTCAAGGGCCCTTGCCCAAAAACCTGCCCAAGCTTGCTCGGCTCAAAGAATTACGTCTGGGTACGAACAGGTTCACCGGTACAATTCCCGCTGGAATCGGTTCTATTTCAGGACTTGAAATTCTCGAATTACAGAACAATTCTCTGGTTGGGGAGATCCCTTCTTCACTGGGCCAACTCAGGATGCTTCGAAAGCTCTATCTGGATGGTAACAGATTGAATTCTACTATTCCTTCGGAGCTAGGCCTATGTACTAATCTCGCCTTCCTTGCTATTGCGGTGAACTCTCTCACTGGGTTCCTTCCTCCCTCTCTATCCAAACTGACCAAGATATCTGAACTGGGTCTCTCAGACAACTCGCTGTCTGGAGAGATCCACCCTTACTTCATTACAAACTGGACGCAGTTGACCTCTTTGCAACTCCAGAACAATAACTTTACAGGAAAAATTCCCCCTGAGATCGGTAGATTGACAAATCTCACTGTCCTCTTCCTCTACAATAATCACTTCTCAGGTGTGATACCCCCAGAGATTGGAAACCTGAAAAACTTGCAGCAACTAGACATATCGGTGAATGCTCTCACAGGTCCTATACCTCGCACAATTGGAAATCTATCAAAGCTTGATTTCTTACAGCTTTTCTACAACAATTTGACCGGAACGATTCCTCCAGAGATTGGTAACATGTCATCATTACGGACGCTTGATCTCAACACGAATCAATTGCAGGGAGAGGTGCCAGACACCATCTCTCGCCTTGAATATCTTGAGACACTCTCCTTGTTTACCAACAATTTATCGGGTAGCATTCCGAAAGAATTTGGACAGCGTAGTAATTTGGCTTATGTTAGCTTTTCCAACAACAGCTTTTCCGGTGAGTTACCGCCGGGGTTATGCAATGGCTTTTCCCTCCAACATTTGACAATCAACAGCAACCATTTCACAGGGCCATTACCTGATTGCTTGCGCAATTGCTCACAACTAGTTAGAGTCAGGCTTGAAGGAAACCAGCTCACTGGGAACATATCAAAGGCGTTCCGAGTACATCCAAATCTTCTGTACATAGATCTTAGTGGTAATCAGTTGTCTGGTGAGCTCTCCCCTGAATGGGGAGAATGTGCAAATCTTACTTATTTTCACATTGATGGAAATAAAATTTCTGGTGAGATTCCAGCCGAGCTTGGGAAGTTAACACAATTAGGGGACCTAAGCCTGTCTTCAAATGAACTGAGGGGGCAAATTCCAGCAGAATTAGGAGATCTGAACAGGTTATTCAAGCTTAACTTGAGCAACAATCACTTGGCAGGAGTGATCCCTTGGAGCATTGGCAATTTAAGTAGGCTACAAGTACTTGACTTGTCAGAAAATGTATTAAATGGCAGTATACCTTCAGAGCTTGGAAACTGCACCAACTTGATTAAGCTGAACTTGAGCAACAATGAGTTAGTGGGTGAAATACCATCTGAGCTGGGGAACTTAAATGCCTTGCAGTCATTTCTAGATCTTAGCCAAAATTCACTCTCAGGGTCCATCCCTCCAAACCTGGGGAAGCTGACTGCATTAGAGAATCTCAATCTATCCCATAACAACCTCTCTGGCACAATCCCAAAATCATTATCAGGCATGTCTAGTCTACAATATATTGATCTTTCCTACAACAACTTGACTGGTCCTGTCCCAACTGGTAACATTTTCCTCAAGGCACCTGCTACAGCCTTCACTGGAAATCCAGGCCTATGTGGAACTGCACAAGGATTGCACTCTTGCAATACAAGTCCTCCAGGTAGCCATTCCAAGAAGCATTACAGACTCCTCATTTCTATTATTGTCCCCATTGTCTGTGTTTTGATTTTAGGAGCTATAGTTATTGGAATGTTAATTCTGAGTAGGAAATCAAGACAACCAGATGAAGAGATTAGAAGTGTCAAAAAGGATGAGACTTCTGAGGCACTGATTTGGGAAAGAGAAGGAAGATTCACATTTGGTGATATCATTAGAGCCACAGACAACTTCAATGAAGAGCACTGTATTGGAAAAGGAGGATATGGATCTGTTTACAAAGCAGTGTTTTCAACAGGTCAAATAGTAGCTGTTAAGAGGCTAAATATGTCAGATTCAAGTGACATTCCAGCAATAAATCGACAAAGTTTTGAGAATGAAATCCGTACATTAACAGAAGCTCGGCACCGGAATATAGTTAAGCTGTATGGATTCTGTTCTAGGAAGGGAATCATGTATTTGGTGTATGAGTATGTAGAGAGAGGTAGTCTGGGAAAGGTTTTGTATGGGAAAGAAGGGGGGAGTGAATTGGACTGGGTGGCAAGGGTGAAAATTATCCAAGGGCTTGCCCATGCAATTGCTTATTTGCACCATGATTGTTCTCCTCCTATTGTGCATCGGGACATATCTGTGAATAATGTTTTGCTTGAGTCAAGCTTTGAAACTCGGCTTTCAGACTTTGGAACAGCTAGATTATTGAGCCCTGATTCATCCAATTGGACTACAGTTGCTGGGTCTTATGGTTACATGGCTCCAGGTATGCTATATTTTGTATCCATTTGTTTTTTTATTCATTTCATTATTCTTACCTGTACGAATTGGTGTCTCCTGGTTTAGGATAAGAGATCATCTAATGGTTTAGTTACACTGGAATTAGGGATGAGGACATAGGCAACTGTTCTTTACAGAGCTAACTGTTTCTATTTGGATTCTGGATCATCTTCAATGTGCTCAAGAGATGATTATCCCCATGTTTCAATGAGTTTGACTGTTTGAGTTGATCTCCCCAGACAATCCTTTCTGGGGCTAGAAAAAACTAAGTAATGTTTTAAGCGTTTAGCAGAAGTTACTCTTTTTCCTTTGATCCTGAATTTAGAGATTCGTTTTTTTTTTTTTAATTAGAGGCTTTTGACCTCTTATTTGATATCTATTTATCAAATAGTGTGCATTAATAATAGTATTATTATTTCTAACCTGCCTAGCTTTTCAAAATTTTGGTCAGATGATCTCAACCTGGTCTTACCTTACCTATACCCTCCCTAACTAAGCCTTTTGGTTCTATACTGGAAGCTCAGGACATTCTTGATTTGAGTTTTGGTACATCTGTGGTGCATTAGTGTATAAATATAATGATCTCTCTCTCTCTCTCTCTCTCTCTCTCTCTCTCACACACACACACACACACACACACACACACACACACATAGGGGTGTCAATTGGCTGGTTGCATCTGTGGTGCATTAGTTTATAAAAGCACTTTTACAAAAGCACTTTTCAAAAGTACTTTTACACGAAAGTACTTTTATGAAAGCACTTTTATGACAATGCCAGAAGGGTATATTTTTGTAATTTTCAGATTTCTTCATTTTAATATATTTTTGTAATTTTTATATGTTCTGTTTTTTTACATATAATTTTTTATATTTCATTCAGTTTGGATTGGATCCAATCCAGTCCATTTACATTTTAATGGATTGGATTGGATTTGGTTTGTATTGGATTTGGACTGGATTGGGTCCGGTCCATTTGTGAGTGGACTCACATTGGACTGGATCGGGTTGGACCAAATCTAGTCCAATTGACACCTCTACTCACACACACACACACACACACACAAATATACTTACAGATTGCACTCTGAAGTGGCAGGGTAATTACTGAACTATTTACTTAGATCCTTGAATCTAAATACTGTTCTGCTATTTAACAAAGAATCTAAATATGTTTTCTCCATTAAATGGCAGAGCTTGCATTTACAATGAAGGTCACTGAAAAATGTGATGTTTATAGCTTTGGAGTGGTGTCTTTGGAAGTTATGATGGGAAAGCACCCTGGGGAGCTGATTTCTTCTCTGTCATCATCGTCTTCTAGTGATGGTGGCTTGTTCCTGAAGGACGTCTTGGACCAAAGGCTTCTATCACCCACAGGTCAGTTGGCAGAGGAGGTGGTCTTTGTAGTTAAAATGGCACTGGCATGCACACATGCCAATCCTGAGTCACGGCCTACAATGCGTTTCGTTGCACAGGAACTGTCAGCTCACACCCAGGCATATCTATCAGAGCCATTTAGAACAATTACAATGAGCAAACTAACAAGCTATCACAAATAGATCAAGTTAGATAAGGGTCTATGGCCTTTGGATGAATGTATGGAGCTACAGTATAATATCACTGAATGACCTTGTTTTTTATTTAATTCAAAGCAAAAGAAAGAAAAAAAAAACATGATTTTACATTCTGATAGAAGAATATGTTAAAAAGGAGAAACATTTTTGTTTTCTTAATTTGGTTTAACTAAAACAGATTTTGATTCACTCAATGTGAGGTGTCTCATCGGGCAAATTGCTGAACCATGTAAGTCATGCATCTATATTATCATAGCTGACCATGTTTCTATATATATTCACTAACAAATTAAGGTCTATCGAAGTTATCTTACAGGACAGGTAAATTACCTCAGTAGAGAAAGGAAAACTCAGGCTATTTTTGGCCTATTTCATCAACTGCCTTCAAACAGGGAACATCTGGCATTCTGGCTTGGTTCCTCTCCGGCATGAGTATAGCTTGGGCTGGGCTTGGTCACCTAGAGCTTACCTTAGGAACTCAAAACTGTTTGAAACCCAGTTAAGAACATCATGCAGCAAAAGTTATAATCTAATAAAATTTGTAAGATACTAATCAACAACTGTTTCTTTTGCATGTAAAATATCTTTCTCTCAAGGAAGAAACTGTGGTTCCAGTGGGTTGTTTATAAAAGCAATTATCTCTTGACAAAGATTTGTGGAAATGTGGCGGGTTGGTCAATGGGATTTTAGTTCTCTTTAACCAAGATACTCATGTTCTTTTTTCAGATTTATGTGGGGTCTATGAAAAATTTATTTTCCTAGGTAGTGATACCTATCTCCCACGTGGGTAGGGGTTTCTATCGACCAAGATACTCATGTTCCTTTTTCAGATTTATGTGGGGTCCATGGAAAATTTATTTTCCATAGGTATCACTTGGGTAAGTGTTACCTATCTCATAGGTGGGTAAGTAACTTTCCCACTTGGGGGAAAAGTGCCAATACTTGGATGGGATAAAATTGCACCTTTTAATAATGGCTTTTTATGGCTAAAATGGTCATTGTTTTATTTACCTAGGATATAAAAGAACATGGTAAATGCATTTACATAGGAAATCCTAGGTAAGTGTTTAAACCTCCTTAGACAAATAGAAAAAAGAGAAAAGGAAAATTAAGAGTGTCTAAGATGTCAACCCCTACTCCAAAGTGCCACTTTATATATTAAGGTGAATGCATAATTACAAAAATGCCCATGTGGGGCAAAGAGAGAAACAAAAGGAAAACATATAAACATAAAACAATGAACTACACAAAAGGGACTATCCTAATAAAGTACATTAAGTCTAAGAGTATCCACACTCCCTCTCAAATTGATGCATAGACAAGCATTAGTTTGCCTACAAGAAAGACATGTTGAGCTCTAGTCATGGCCTTAGTGAAGATATCAACAATTTGCATCTCCGAGACCACATGGGATAGAGAGATGGATCCGACAATGAAAAAATCTCTAATTAAATGACAATCCACCTCAATGTGCTTAGTCATCTCATGGAATATAGGATTAGATACAATCTTGATAGCACTAGTATTTTTACATAAAGTGGAGTAGGTGTAGGATGTGGACTACCAAGATCTACAAATAGAGATTTTAAATCTATGAATGACAGGGCAACCAACCCAATCTACATCAGCATATGATCTTAATTGAATGGAAGAGGAGGAAGAGAAGAATATCCCCTAAGAAATTGTCTTTGACAAAATAAATAATGCAATGGACAACAGTTATAATTGGGCAGGAGTAGAGACAAACTAACTAACATATTAAACAACATGTGAAGTATTAGGATGAGTCATGGTGAAATAGATGAAAAACTCTACAAGCTGGAAATATAGGGTAGCATCAAGAATCATCTAACCGTTAGATTTAGATAATTTAACATTCAGATCTAGAAATGTATCAACTTGTTTCTCATCATTGAGACCTACAAGTTTGACAAGATTGGAAGCATATTTCTACTGGCAAACAAAGTATCCCCGATTACTATGATGAACTTCTAAGCCTAAAAAATAGGTCAGAGGGCCCAAGTCCATGTTAAAGAGATCATGAAGCAAGGACTTCAATTCCTAAATGCTTTCATCATCATTGCCAATCAACAACATATCATCAACATATAACAGGAGAATAGTGATACCCTGGGGCCACCTCTTAACAAAGAGAGAATGATCAAAGGAGTTTTGACTATATCCATCGTTTACTACAACATCTTGAAAATGCTCAAACGAAGCTTGGGGAGCCTGTTTCAAACCATATAAAGATTTATTTAAGCTACATACCAAAGAAGGATCACTGCAATATCCAAGAGGAGCCTTCATGTAGACTGTTTCCTTCAGCAATTCATAAAGGAAGGTATTCTTCACATCTAACTAACAGATGATCTAGGATTGGACAACAAATAAAGCTAGAAGAGCACGAACTATTGTGATCTTTTCAACTGGTACAAAGGTTTATTCATAGTCAATGCCATACTCTTGGCTATAACCTTGAGAAACTAATCTAGCTTTGTACCGATCAAGAGAGCCATCTGATTTTATTTTGGTAGTGTAAGCCCAACAACTCCCAACAATGTGGGCATCTAAAGGAGTAAATGGAGTAAAACAAGCTCCCAAGTATCATTTTGATGTAGGGCCTTAACCTCGACATCTATGGCTTCTCTCCAATGAGAACTCCTAATTTCTTGCTAGTAAGAGTGAGGAATACCTATTGAGGACAAAGTAGTAGAGAAGGATCTATGGTTTTTATTAATACAAGTAGAATGGCAGGGGAGGAATGAAAAAATTAGCATTGGAAGTAGTAGTATTTGAGGGAAAAGCTATGTTTTCCGAATTGTTTTTGCCTCCGGGTCGCGGGTCACTAGTTCAATAGGCTGGGTTGAATGGTTCAGATATATATATAAGAAATAAATAATGTATAAATATGTTTTACATATGTTATATGTATTATTTTATATTTAATTTATGTTTTTTAATTCAGTTTTTAATTTTTATTTATAAAAATATTAAAAAATTATAATTTGAGGCCAAAAAGGGGTCTTTCTTCGCAAAAAAAATAGTGGGGAAGGCGCCTACATCACCTTGGGACGCATAGATCTCAAAAAGTTACCCAAAATAAAAAATCACCCCAATCAGATATTGGAGTGCAAAGTTATGGCCTTCAAAAGTTTTGCACGCATTAAGTGTGCAACCCATGACTCGGTCACCGGGTCGAATGGGTCAACGGTTGAATCGGTCAGGTTGGACGATTCTTGCCAAGTTAACGGTTTTTGACTGTTTGACGGGTCTTGATTGAACCTGACCTAGAATCTTGGCCAGGTGACAGAACAGTTCAACCGGTCGGGTCAAAGGTGGGTTGAAAACATTGGGGAAAAGTATCACTTATAGGAGGATTTACAGAATGATGTTCTGGACTGAATGAAAATGGAGCGGTGGGTATTTATTCTATACTTAAACTTGTTGGAATTTTTGTTGTTCTTCAATATTTCTGTCAAGAGTAGGTAATGTAAGAAAGTTCTACCACCCACTTCTTGTAAGTGCTAAACTTGAATAAACTAGCCCTAAAATGAGAAACCATGAAATGGAAATGATAAAGATGTTTAAGACTTTCAATGTTCAAAAGTCAATAATGTAAAATAACTATCATCTTTCATGCTTCATGATACTAATGGTACCGGGACTTGAATAGAAGCATTTGAGATAAGTATAACAATATGAAAGTTTCAAAAAACAAATACTAGATTCAAAGTGAACTTTGGATCACTTGGTTAAAAAGCTCACCCCAACACAAGGGTTTAACTCATGAGACTCAAGAAAAGTTATAATGCAAAAACACTTTTTTTTTTTGAGAAATTATGTCAAAATTATAATGCCAAAACAATGTTGGTTAAAAATCTCACCCCAACATAGGGGTTTAACTCATGAGAGTCAAGAAAGATTATAATGCCAAAACACTTTTTTTTTTGAGAAATTATGTCAAACATCACACAACAAATTCACTGGTTGGACTATGAATATTTGTTTGATTAACCTTACTAAGCAAGATGGTATGTTTTTTACGGATTCAAAGTTGATATGATAACTCACTTCCAAGATGGTCCTAAGTTATATATTGCTAGATGGTTGATATAATTTAAACCTATCTACTTCCTTTTTTTTTCTATTTTCATTTTTCTCTAGGGTGAAATTAGCTAGAGCAAGAAGATATTATATAGCATCTTTGTTACACATGGTCATGATCATGTAGTTCTATATTTCTGCCCATCTAAAAAAAAAAGTTTTGTTCTTCTCTTTTAGTCAAATAGAAAATATTCCTTCATTCTCTATCAATCAAATAAAAAGTACTTCTCTTCCTTATGAAATGTGGTATGTGAATGATTTGTTTATAAGATGTGGTATGTGAACAATTTTCTTATGAAAGTTGGTATGTTGATGCTTTTCTTATGAAATGTGGTATGTGGATGCTTTTCTTATGAAATGTGGTATGCGAATGCTTTTATCTTTCATTTTCATTGGCTAAAATCCTTCCATTGGCAAAAGTTTTGTTTCCATCATGCATAGGAATGGAAGTAGGGAGATATATGTTCATTGTCAACCATGGTGGTCAATGGAAGACCACTAATGGGAAGTTGTCATATGTCGGTGGTGATGTGGGATATGTAGATAACATTGACAGTGACAGGATTTGCTACTTAGACATCATCGATGACTTTTGCAATTTGTGTGGGATACCTCCTGGTAATATGGTAACCATAATCGTGAACTAGAGGAAGAATTGGGTTTGTTGGGTATTGAGAGTGACATATTGCAGATGTTTGCCTTGCATGGTTATATGTGTGAGATTATCTTCTATGTCACTACTATGGATGCTAAATGTGTATTAGTTGATGACATGTGTGTTCAAAGAAGTGGAAAGAATAATGACCACGGAAAAGGAAAGTATATAATTGAAGGTGATGATGACTGTTGCATTGTTGAATCTGTATCCGATGATGATGCTCATTATGATAGTATTGGAGATTGTGCATCTGAGCATGAGTATGGTTATGGAATGGAGGGTAGTGATGGTGAATTTGATTAAGATCATAATTGTGGAGATAGGCTAGGTGGTGATGATGATGGGCTGGAAGGTGATATTGGTGACTCTGATTTAGAACAAGATTATGGGAAGGAGATGAAAGCTGATGTTGGGGAATTTAATA